AGGTCCAGCCTCGTGCCAGCAGCACATGGAGGGCTGCGCAAGCATGCTGCTCCCAGGCCTTGTCTCAGGGAGCAAGGGAAGAGCAGAGAAAAGCCGAAAGCCTTCCAGAGCAGGTTGTGCCCAGCTACATAGAGACGCACGTTCCTGACGTTTCACAGGACATGATTCCAAGCAAATTCCCTACTATTGCTCCTCGATCCCACCAACTGGGTCTTCAAACCATACCCTTCACTGCCTCTTAGTCCCACAAGACACGCACAAATCTTTGGTTCATCTGTTCACTAAGTGTTTACTGAGTATTGACTGCAGGCAGCATGGTGACCAAGAAGCAGTCCTTGCCCTCCCCTCGTCATTCTTCCAGTGGCAGGGATGGCCATCTCACAGAGGGCAATACTATACACGACAGTGCAGGGATCAGTGCAGCCCAGGCCTTGCTGGAGTGTCCCACCAGACTGCCCCAGACCATATCTCCACAGGATTGGGCCAAGGGCCGTCCTGCAGGCTGGGTGAAGGGACATGGGTCCTGGGGTGCAGAGGGGCACGGGGTGGGGTGAGAACCAGAGAGGTGTATGGTGTGAAGGGGGAAAGGCTACTTTCTGGTGCCCAAGAAGGCAGGCTGGTAGCAGCCATGCTGGCAGAACGGTCCCTACCCCTGTCCTCCACCAGGGGGTGCTAACACTGAGGGCAGGGAGAGAGGACCAGGTCAAAGCCAGGGGCTGAGAGGCGGAGAGAAAAGCTCATACAGTTGAGGGCCCTGTGAGAAGAAGGAGGCTGATACTTTGTTCTTGGCATGGATGTTCTACTCAGGCCCTGAGTCGGCTGACCAGCCCCAGAATCCCAGAAGGGAAGACATACTGGGGAAGAGTGGCCCAGTAAGCCAGAGCCAGCAAGCTGCCCCCAGCTGTTCTGAGCTGGGTCTCAGTAGGGACTGACCAGAGACTGCTGGGGATGGGGGCAGGGGGATTGAAGAAGGAAGGAGGCTGGAGGGAGGGTGTCAACTGTGGAAACAGAGTGGAAAAATTTGGAAGGCAAACACTTGCTCCTCCCCCAGAGACCTAGAGGGCTCTATGCTTTGCCCATTCAGGGTTGCTCGAAAGTCACCTCCTCAGACAGACCTTCTCCGACACACAGCTGCGCTGGGCAGGCAAAGCTGGACAACGCTGGGGAAGAAGTGCCTAGCAAGCAGCTGCTACGTGCCAGACAAGAATTAAACACGTCTCATGTCACCTCCTTTTGTCCTCATGATGGCCCAGTGAGATGGGTATAATTACCCACTCCCGTTTTACAGATGAGGAAACTGAGGCTTAGAGAGGCTAGCTAACTAACTTAAGCTGCAGAACAGCCCCCATGAGCAAGGCTTTCCCCTGCATCTCCCTACCTCCTTGAGATCTTGTTTGTTTCGTGTGTGGCGTTTTGAGATGTGCGGAGGAGCATGGGAGTCTCTAGGTTGGGGCCAGAGCTCCGGGGCTCCCTTGCTGTTTCATTACCATGGGGTCCCAGGAATGTCATAGTTTCTCGTTTGTACACATCCTGTGACCAATGGTAGAGGGGATTTGAGTTGCTGGCCCTGCTGTTTGGGACAGATGAGGAGCTGCCACATTCCTGACGAAAGATGGAGTCTGGGTAGTCAGGCTGGGTCAGGGGCAGCCAGCCTCATCACCATGCGGGGCTTCTGTCTCAGGTTTAAGAAGCCAGTCATTGGTCCCCAAAACATGTCCATGGCCTCCAGAGGCTCAGAGCCTCACCAGGAAGACAACCCTACAGTAACTGCCACTTCTTGGGCACTTCCTGGGCACTGGACAGTCTAGCGGGTGGTTGAATGTGCGGGCTCTGGAGCAGGTTTGAAGACCACATCCCCACCTTCTTGGTCACGTGTGACTTCAGCAAATCGCACACCAGGCTTCAGTGTGGCGCGGAGCTGGCCTGGCGCAGCTCGGTCTGCGTTTGCTCCTGTTGCACACGGACAAGGCCATCTGTGATCGAGATGGACCGAGACGAAAACAGGACCGCTACTTCATCAAGTCTGAACACAGACAAAACATGAATATTGTCTAAACCACAAAAATGACCAAATATCCCCCATCCAGCTAATCCAAGTGAAGCCTGCTTCTTTTCTTCATTTTAGGTGTCCCTCCTTCTAGCTGAGACTTATTAAAATACCTATCAGAGAATCACCTCCTTTTCCTAAAATCATCTAATCCAGAACAAAGGCCATCTTCCTTAAGTCCTTCACCAGTCACCCAACACCAGCCCGAACCCTATAGTAAGTCCTTTCAAACCCCATGGTCCTCATGGTGCAGGTCCCTACTGTGGCAAGGAGTCATAGATCCAGTTGTTCACCCACAGGTGTGTTTCTGGTGACCTTTGGCTGGAGGCATGGACAGTCAATACCTCGCTGGGTTGCTGTCATACTGCACTTAGGATGATATATTCCCAGGACTCTTTAAACATACTTGTCATGCTTTAATGTCATTTCCATTTTACAAAGGGGACACTGAAACTCAGAGAGGGCAAGGAACTTTGCCCAGGTCACATAGCTGCTAGTATAGAGCCAGGATGGAAATTCAGGTCTCATTCCAAAGTCAGTTTCCTGCATTAATAGGGCAGAAACCAACACTACAGTGGCCTGGTGTCTGGGAGCGGCAGAGCAGAGGGCCAGAGCTCAAAGAGGAAAGAACCCCAGGGGCTGCGGGAGGGGAGCACCCAGGTCATCCTCAGTGACCCTCCCCTCTTCCTGGCCTACTTGTGACTTCCCTGACTGCATCCTTCTCTCCAAGGCTGCCAGGCTGCTGAGTAAACACAGGTCCAGCAGAGGCTGAGGAGTGGGTGTCGGTGTCAGCAGAGCCTGAGGCCTGAGTCACTTCCTGACCATTGCCTAAGAGGAGTTGGGAGCCATGTCCCGAGTGGTCAGCTGTGCCCTTGCAGGGCTGCGCTCACTTGGGCAATGAAGACTTCCCTGGTATTCCTCACCTTCCTGGACTCACTTCCGCCACACTCAGGTTTTCAAGACACAACGGAGAGGCTCAAGCCCCATCCCTGCCCTGGAGAACTATTTCCTCAACCCAGAAGGAAACCTAGGTCTCTTGTCTGTGCCCAGTCCTGAACTCTGGCTTCTGGGACACTGTTCCAACTTCAGAAATAGGGTGCCTTCCAGTCCAAATGTCCAAAACTCCCCTAGGCCCCCCAGGCCTCCCTGGCCACCCTTTCCTTTTCCTTCCACAGGGTTTCGGGGCCACGGTCAGGGGTGGGGCAGGGAGGAGGGTGGGGAACAAACGCGTCAGATACTAAGGGAGACATGCATGGTTACAGCAGTAGACACGTCCTCATGATGTGGGCGGGGCGGATGATTTCAAACCGGGGCCATTTCCTTCGAGGAGCAATGATGTTCAACCCAGAGACACCGCATAGCCTCAGGGCCGAGAGCCTGGACTCCAAAGCCCGGCTATACTAGCTTTTTCAACCCTGCTCTGCCCCTTGCCAGCTGTGTGACCTTCAGCAAGTCACATAACCTCTCTGTACTTCAAGTTTCTCATCTCCAAAATGAGGATAATACTCGTACTGACTCATAGGCCTCTCACCAGGATTAAGGGGGTTGTGTTTGTACAACACTTAGGATAATGGCTAGCAAGTGGCAAACACTAGTGTTCATTAAATAAATATTTTTTCACTTCCAATGGGTTGACTCTTCCATTCATTCTCTGTAGGTTTTTGATATCCTACTGTGTGCCAGGTATGAATAGACTGAATCCCTGCCTGCAATGCCTGTTGGGTATTTCTGTGGCTTCCCTGTGCCCCTGCCCCACAGGTGGTCGTCAGGACTGTGTCTGATGTGCAGGACTTCGTGGGAGGGGTCGTGGCACCAGGTAATGAGGCCACAGTTTACTGTCAGCCACGAGCAACTTCCTTTCCTTCTTCAAGCCACCTTCTCTCTGTTTGACAAAGTGAAGCAAGTGGTCCCCACCCCTTCCACAACCCATCCCCAGGCCAGTGAGGGGTCAGACAAGTCAGGCTGGGCATCTGGACCTCTCGAGGCCATTCTTGGACCCCTACCTGTTCCTGGGAGGCCTCTGTGATTTAATTTGAGCACAGAGTTTTCTTCAGGCCACACGAGCCACCCGACACAGGTGGCAGAGACCCTGGTTTGTCATCACTGTCTAGGCCATTAGGAAGCTAGCAAAATCCATGTTTAAAACTGAGAATTTAAACCTAGACTGGATAGTTGACTATTATAGAATTACTGTTATTAATTTTAGGTGTAAAATGATATTGTGGTATGTTTTTAAAATAATGCTTATCTTTTTGAAATACAAAAAATATTTATGGATGAAATGCTATGATACCTGATTTTGCTTCAACATAATGGGGGGAGAAGGGATGTAGGTGGAATCGAAGTGACTCAGAGCGCTGATGTAACCGAGGGACATGGAGGTTCACTAGAACCTCACTTACCGTCACAGTGTGGCCCAGAGACCCTCTGAACCTGACAGCTGGTTAGAAATGAAGTATCTTGGCTCTACCCCAGACGCACTGAATCCGAAGCTGTGTTTGAATGAAATAAAGTTCTCAGTTGATGCGTGTTCACAGTCAAGTGTGAGAAGCACTGCGCTATTTTGTCTATTTCTGTACTTGTTCAAAACTTTCCATAATCAAAAGGTTGTTGGGTTTTGTTTCGTTTTTCCGAAATTGTCTTCAATACTCCCGGGGAGATCTTCCTGCAGAGTCCCGGGCTGCGCAGAGCTGGGAGACCCTGCCTTCCCTCCGGCCGCCCTACGCGGGACCCCGCGGTCTACGGGGCCGCATCCCGGCGCCAGCACCCGGCCGGGAAGCACCGCTCCAGGCCGATCAGCGCGCCTCCGCTCCCGCTCCGCTGCTGTCCCGGCGGAAACCCGGGGTTCACCGCGTCGCCTGTCGCGGCAGGCCCGCGCGGGCAGGGCGCCGCACCTGAGCGAGCCTGCAGGTGGGACGCGCCGCGGGCCGGCCCCGCCCCCGAGCCGGGGGTGGAGCGGGCAGCGCGGGGCGGGCGCTGCCGGGACCGCGACGGGGGCCTGGTGCTGGGAGCCCCGTGGGCCGCGAACGCAGCAGACTCGCTGCGGCAGCCGAGATCGGGTGCGCGGGATGAGCCTCACGCGGAAAAAGGGCTTCTACAAGCAGGACGTCAACAAGACCGCCTGGGAGCTGCCCAAGACCTACCTGTCCCCGACGCACGTCGGCAGCGGGGCTTATGGCTCCGTGTGGTGAGATCCCCGGGCCTGTGCGCGCTCTGGGGCACCGGGAAGGGGGGTCAAGGGGTTCCCGGGGCGTCGGGGCGGACAGACCGCGGCCTCCCAGGTCACGGGACTCAGGTGGAGCCACCCGAAGATCGAAGATCGGGGATGGTTCAATGCACCTCCTCTGCTCTTCCGGGCTCACCTGGGATGTCCCCTCTCCTGTTGGGCCCCCGGGGTCGCGCGCCCACCACCTTGACCGTGGACCACAAGGCCCAGTGTCCCGCGGGCTTGGAAGACCCTCTCGGGGGCTTTTCCTGGGCCGACTCGGGGAAAGCTGGGACGCTAAGTAGCGTGTGAGCGACAAGCCTCAGGCGTTGGCAGAGGCTGGCCCGGGACCACCCCCGGCGCCGTCTCCCTTTCTCTGGCTTTGTGGGGTTTCTGTGGGTTGAATTAAGACTGGGTCTGGTTGCCCAGGACTTGAACCTTACCAAGGACCCCAAAGTTCTTCCGGGCGAATCCCCGTTGTTACAAATGGGTGCACTGAGACCCAAAGAGGGAGAAGTGACTTGCCAAGTTGCACAGAGTGAGACTCCCTGGGGCTCTGGATCCCCTTGTGTTAACTGTGTCTGACTCGGGTGCATGGACTTCTCTCAGGGTGTCTGCTCCCTCCTCCAGCCCTGAGCCCCACGGTGCTTCATCAGCTCCCTCACATTCCAGGCCCTGGGCATCCGTTTCTCCTAGCCTAGTCTGCAGGCCAAGAGGGATGGGGGTGAGGATATCCTGGGACATACCACCAGGATCTGGAGCGGCATTGCCGGGGGAGGAGAAGTGCTGCCTGCTGACCTGCCTGTGCCCCCGCAGCTCTGCCATCGACAAGCGGTCAGGGGAGAAGGTGGCCATCAAGAAGCTGAGCCGGCCCTTCCAGTCTGAGATCTTTGCCAAGCGGGCCTATCGAGAGCTGCTGCTGCTGAAACACATGCAGCATGAGAACGTAGGCTGAGCCTGGGGCTGCTGGAGAAGGCGGGAAGCCCTCCTGTGCGTGGGAGAGGGCCTGAGAGGGTACAGAGAGCTCAGGACAGGGTCAGAAGAAAGGCAACCTCCTCCTTGCTCCTCTGACCCTAGTTCCTCCCTTCATTATTAAGATGGGGTGCAGGACCTGCCCTGCCTACTTCCCAGGAAGGGTACAAAGGGTATGTTTGGCAGTGGCTCAGAATGAGCTTTGTGAGGTACAGGCTTACTCTCTCACTGTTATTAGAAAATGGGCACAGAGGAATGTCGTAGCATGTTCTAGATCTAAGAGCTGGTGCCCAGAATCCAGGTTACTGTTGTTTGCCCATGTGACACTGATAATAATAACCACGACAACAATAAAAATAGATACATACAGTATTGAGCACCTATTGCGTAGCAGGCTCCATTCAAAGAGTTTTGCATAAACCAACTTGTTTAATCCTCAAAGTACTGTTACTCCCATATACAGATGGGGAAACTGAGGCACAAAGACCCACAGATTGCATGGGTAGTCAGTGGCATAGCTGGTATTTGAATTTAGGCAGCCTGGCTTTTGGTCTCAGTGCATAACCATTCAACTGTCCTATCTGATAGAAATGGCTAGAAAACTAGTGACCCAGCATTGGGCCTGGCAGCAGGACTTTGCTCTAGGATACCCAGATTGGAAGGCAAACATTTAAAATAACAGTTTCAAATTTTTGTGCACATTTTAAGCCCCATTCCTCTTCAACAACCCTCCCTATGGCCTCCGGACAGGAGTGAACTTGCCTCTGGCTCTGAACCAGTCCTTGGCAGGCAAAAATCAATGAGGCAGAAGACCCAAAATCAAGGGCAGGGAGCCTATTGGCTGGAAAGCCCCTTCCCTGTTCCCTCCTTGATTCCCTTCACCACTCATGGCTCCCTGCTTGAGCTGAGAGTGAGTTCATGCTGTTTGCCCTGAGTAACTAGATTTGGGGCAGTGAGCACAGGAATGTCCACCTTCCCTTCTCCCCAGCCTGCTCTCCATCACTGTACACCACAGGCTCTCTCCCAATTACGGGGATTCCTCTTTCACCTCTGCCCCTTAACTGCTTCCAAGAAGGCTGGGAACCTGCTCCTGCTGGAGATGGTGTATTAGGAAAGGGTGGGTGGTCCTCTGCATGGCCTGGCTCTAAGGGAGGTAGGGAGAGGGCTGAGTGGCTACCAGCACTTACCAGCAACCTTCTCCTCAGGTCATTGGGCTCCTGGACGTCTTCACTCCAGCCTCCTCCCTGCGGAACTTCCAGGACTTGTGAGTCTGGCTGCACTGGGTTCCAGGGTATTACAGTCCTTACTTGCCACGCGGGCGGGGGGGGGGCAACTTGGTAGTGGGGGAGTCCAGATTCTGTCTTCTGGGTAGGGGACTTCCTGACCTGGCAGTCCCTGTGCCTTTGGGTCATTGAGATGTGATTCTCTCTCTTGGGAGATCCTTTCAGCCAAGGGTGTTTATTTTAGAGGCAGTAACATTTTATCTTTTTACCCAATTTCTTGTTCTTTCTCTTCTTCTGACACCCTTATTATGCAAATGTTGAAATGCTTGCTGTTGTTCCAGAGGCTGCTTACACTGTTCTTGTTTATTTGGAGTCTTTTTTTTTCTTGTTATTCTGATTGGTTGTTGTTATGCTTCCTTATGTTCTAAAAGTTTTATGGCTTCAGATCTTACATTTTAAGTTTTTTATCATTTTGAATTTATTTTTGTATATGGTGTAAAAATGTGGTCTAGTTTCTGTCTTTCTTTTATATATATATGTATATATAAATATATATATATATATATATATATATATATATAAATATATATATATATGGCTGTCCAGTTTTCCTAACACCATTTATCAACTAGACTGTCTTTACCCCAGTGTATTTCCTTGCCTCCTTTGTCCTAGATTTATTGACTATACAGCTGTGGGGTTTTGAGGTTCGCTCTCTATTCTATTCCATTGATCTATGCCAGTACTATGCTGTTTTGATTACAGTAGCCATATAGTATAGTTTGATATCAGGTAGCATAATACCTCCAACTTTGTCTACATTATCAATATTGCTTAGGCTATTTGGGACCTTTTATGGTTCCATAGAAATTTTAGGATCACTTATTCCAGTTCTGTGAAAAATGCCATTGCATTGAATCTATAGATTACTTTGGGTAGTATAGACATTTTTAACAATGTTAATTGTTCCTATCAGTGAGCATGCTATGTGCCCCCATGTATGTGTATCTGCTTCAATTTCTTTCTTCAATGCCTTAGAATTTTCCAAGTACAGGTCTTTTACCTCCTTGTTTAAATTTATATCTAGGTATTTTGTATGCAGTTGTAAATGGGATTGTTTTCTTAGTTTCTCTTTCTGATAGTTTGTATATAAACATGCAACCAACTTCTGAGTATTAATTTTGTATCCTGCTACTTCACTGAACTCATTTATCAATTTTAATAGTTTTTTTGTGGTATCTTTAGGGTTCTCTATATTTAGTATGATATCATTTGCAAATAAAGACAGCTTTACTTTTTCATGTCCAATTTGGATGCTTTTTATTTCTTTTTTCTTGTCTGACTGCTGTGGCTAGGTCTTCTAGTACTATGGTGAATAAAAGTGGTGAAGGTAGACCTCCTTGTCTTTTTCCTGATCTTAAGTAAAACATTTTGAGCTTTTCATTGTTGATTATGATATTGGCTATGGGTTTGTCATATATGGCCTTCATCATGTTGAGGTATGTTTTGAATGGCGTTTTTCCTATAATGTGCTTAGCATTTGGAATTTAATGTGACCAGCTCCTCTGGCAGGGTAAGGGTCCGGATAGGGTGAGAGTGTGGTTTCTGAATTAATGCTAATAGTAGTATGGTCAGTGATCTAGGCAATCTAGGTATGGGTAGAGTGCTGAGGACTGCATACTGCCTTGGGGTTTCACAGAGGAGGCAACATTTGATCTCAAGCCTGAAGGGTGTGTAGAAGTTCGCCTTGGGTAGAAGGGGCTAGGGCATCCCAGGTAGGAGGGACCGTGGGGGCAGAAGCCATGGTGCATGGAAGAGGCTGGACTGTTTGGGCAATATTGAGAATTTTAGTGTGGCTGGTTTGGCTAAGCTAAGTCTAGACTTGATCCAATAGGCAGCTTCAAGTCCATGGAGGATTTCAGCAGGAAGATGATGTCAGATTTGATTTTGAGGATGTACTCTGGTGGCATCAAGAAAAGAACAGGGAGGAGCTTTGGGAGGCAGACACCTAGAGGGTAGTGTTCAAGACCCAGACCTTGATCTAAATAGAGTAGAGGTGATGGTATGCCAAGAGCAGACCAAAGTCCCTTGGGATGTAGTGGCTGGGAGAGGTAGCGAAGGTCAAGGTGCCAGAATACAAAGTGGAGGAAGAACAGATGTTGGGGGAAAGATAATGAACTTCATTTTTGAGACTTCACTTTTGAAGAGCCTATGAATATTCAAGTGTTTATTCAGAAGTTGCAAATAAATCTGGAGCTCCGGAGAAGAAGGTCTGGGCTAGGAATGTGGAGTGGGTTAGAATAATCACCCATGGATGACAGCCGAAGCCCAGGGACAGGCTCGTGGAGAGCATGACACGACACTGTCGATGACAATATCAACATTCAAGGGAAGGTCCAAAGGATGAGCAGGTGAAGAGCTGGGAGCATCTGATTGGGGACTGAGGAAAATAGGTGGAGAATCTTGAGGGAGTGTCAGACTTTGCAAAAGGTCAGATAGGAAGAGAGGGAGCCAGGGGTGAGTTGGGCCATTATTGGTGACCTTGATCAGAGCAGTTTTGGTGGTGGGGGTGGGGCAAGAGCAGACACTATGTTGTCGGAGGCCCAGGCAGTGGGGTCAAAAGGTGTGGAACACTCTAGAGTTTGGTGTGGACAAAGAGGGAGAAGGGGAAGTTAGTTAAGAAACAAGGTCAAGGGGAGGTAGTTCTAGCACGGTGAGGCTTCAGCAAGTGTGTGGGCCAAGTAGAAAGAACCAGGGTCCACGTAGAGAGAAAGACGGAGGTGGGGAGGGGACTGTGTGTGGAGGAGGGCTGGCAGGAGGGAGGGTGTGGTCAGGCGGAAGAAGGCTTCCAAAAGCCACAGGCTCGTGTAATGGCCTCCACCACATGTTGTTTTGGGGGTTTTTTTTGGGGGGGGGTTGCCTTTAATACTTTTTTCAATCTTTATCATTTTTTGTTCTGGACTTTACTATTATTACCTTGAGTGCCAGTTACATTTTGCTGACCTTGATCTGTTTTGCAATCCTTTAAGAGGGTGCAGTGGCTTAGCCACCTCCTTTCTTCTTCCATCCTCCTGGAAGTTGCTTTATTGTTCCCCTCTTGGGAGAGCAGATATTTTTGGTTGATCCTGGAGCCATCTCAGCCAGGCATGACCCTCTGGGAGAGAAATTTGGACTGAAGCAGAAGGAAATATCGAGAGATGTTTCTAACTCACAGCTCTGGCTTTCTGTGGGGCACAGAGGAGGGCAAGGAAAGAGCACCTGTGAACAGAGGGAACACAGATCCACTTGGTTTTCCTGAGCATGCTCCCGCTGAAATGCTCACCCTGACCTCTGCCAACTGAGCAGCTGCTGTGGCGAGGCCGGGAGCCGGGAGCCGGGAGCCGGGAGCCAGGAGCAAGGAGGCCCGTGTGGGGCTCTGGCTGGCTGTGGTCAGGCTGCTTCTGCTCACCCATGGAGGTCCTTTTGAGGCCCCTGTTTTGTTCCAGCCCCTTGCCTCCCCTCTGAGCTCAGACCTGGGCTGGATGGGACTCAGGACTGGACACAAAGCCCCATACCTTGCAGCTACCTGGTGATGCCTTTCATGCAGACGGACCTGCAGAAGATCATGGGCATGGAGTTCAGTGAGGACAAGATTCAGTACTTGGTGTATCAGATGCTCAAGGGTCTCAAGGTGGGCAGGGTCTGGAGGGTGGTAGAGGGGGTGAGACCTGAGGTTTGTGGGAGGCCTGGCCTTGGGGCTGGGAGAGCACGCCGTGGCAGGGCAGAGGAGGCTCGGAGCCAGCCTGGAAAGCCTGCTGTGAAGCTGGGCTCAGGACCCACCTTCCTCTCTCTCTCCCCCACACAGTACATCCACTCCGCCGGGGTCATCCACAGGGTGAGTGCTTTCTCCGCCACACTCCCTCCCACCCTGGAGGGGTTCTCCTCAGCCAGGGAGGGGGAAGGTAAAGGGAGGGCACAGTCCTTGGGGAAATGGGAGACAGATTTTTCGGGCCTACCCTTGGCCTAGGAAGGCCTGCTTCAAAGGAATTGCTGTGTTCAGAAGAATTTTGGGGGGAAATGCTGCAAACAAAGCAAGCTCTGGTATTTCAGGCTCCAGGAATAGGGAGCATTTTAGAGCTGGCTGGGCCTGCAGGGCAGCTTGTCCAGCCCTCCAACCCTCGTGTTACACCCGAGGAGCCCGACACCCAGAGAGGGGCGGGATTTGGTGAGGTTGCATGCCGGGCGGTGGCCAAGCTGGGACAAGCTGCCATATCTGCCTCTCAGCCGGATGCTCGCTCTCCTGTCATCTAGGACCTAAAGCCGGGCAACCTCGCTGTGAATGAGGACTGTGAGCTGAAGGTCAGTGGCCCAGGCAGGGTCAGCTGGGTTGGGGTGGGCTCCTCTCCCCCAGAAGCCTCCTTTAGCTGTTCTAAGAGACTCTTCTCCTCAACAAGCTCCTTCCCTATGTTCTCCGAGTCACAGATCTTGGATTTTGGGCTGGCGAGGCATGCAGACGCCGAGATGACTGGCTATGTGGTGACCCGCTGGTACCGGGCCCCTGAGGTTATCCTAAGCTGGATGCACTACAACCAGACTGGTCAGTGGTCAGCTGCCTGGGGACAGCCTGGAACTGGGGGTCTTCTCTGGCAGCTTCCCAAGGCCATCTTGGTTACTCTGGGTTGACTGACCGCTGGGCTGTGGTCAGCAGTCCAGGTGACACTTCCTCCCCTCCCTTGGCAGTGGACATCTGGTCTGTGGGCTGTATCATGGCGGAGATGCTGACGGGGAAAACGCTGTTCAAGGGGAAAGATTGTATCCTTTGCTGGAAAAGCCAAACTCCATCCAGGGATTCATTCTTTCAGCAGGCACTTTCTTATTTAAATCTCTCTTTTTCTTAATGTGGGAGATATACATGCTCACTGTAGAACAATTTTAAAGTGCAGATGAGCAAAGTGATAAAAAGTAGCCACCTGTCATTCCACCACGATGGAGGAAATACTTCACCTTTTGGCGTCACACACTAATTGAGCGCCTGTGTGCAGTGCAGCATTGAGGAGGAGGTGCGTGTCTGCCCCGCCAAGTCAGGGGTGGGGAGACAAAGAGGCAACCGATGAGTGTGACCAAGGAGGCGGCATGTTCGGGAGCGTTTCTGGGAGAGACCCTTAACCTAGCCCAGCTGGAGAAGCCTTCCAGAGACCGAAGCACGAGGGGAATAGGCGTCTGGAGGCTGGGTGTTTGCCACAGGGCCTGGGTGGGAGTGATGGAGAGCTGGCGGGAAGGGCAGTTTCAGATCCTTCAGCAAAGAGTGAGGCTGAGCCTTAACCTGCTGCCAAGACCTGGACCAATTGACCCAGATCCTGAAAGTGACTGGGGTGCCAGGTGCGGAGTTCGTGCAGAAGCTGAATGACAAAGCGGTGTGTGGCAGTGGGCCTAGCTGAGCAGGTGGGCGGGCTGCGGGCTTCGGGCTTTGGGAAGGAGAGCTTACCTCTGCCTCCCTCTTGCCTTCGTCCCTCTTCGGACTCTGACCTGAGCCTTCAGCCCTGCTGGGCCTTTTCTGGAGTCCCTGCTCTATGCTCCTAAGGCCTGAGCCCCAAAGTGCTGACAGTTGGGGATTACTCAATGCTTTTCTGTCTTCCAGGCCAAGTCCTACATCCAGTCCCTGCCACAGAGCCCCAAGAAGGATTTCTCTCAGCTCTTCCCACGCGCCAGCCCCCAGGGTGAGTCTCAGGCCTGGGCCTCCGCATTCTGTCCCGGCGGGTGGCCTGGCTCTCCCAGGCCTGGAGTGAGGCTCCTGCTTTTGCTGCAGCCGCAGACCTGCTGGAAAAGATGCTGGAGCTGGACGTGGACAAGCGCCTGACGGCCTCGCAGGCCCTCGCCCACCCCTTCTTTGAACCCTTCCGGGACCCAGAGGAGGAGACAGAGGCCCAGAAATTTGATGATTCCTTAGAACATGAGAAACTTACGGTGGACGAATGGAAGCGTAAGAGCTGGGGGCTCGGGCTTTGTCCTCTCTCTGCCTGCAGCCTTTCTGTCCTTTACCACCTTTGTTTTCATGCCTGCCTCTCTGCCAGCCTCTCTGCCGGCCCCTCCACCCCCCTGGAGCCTACTGCCTCTTTCCCTCTGAGCAGATGTGGTCCCCACATGCATTCTTCCTCCCCAGCTGACTTGCAACTCCACGCTTTGTCTGTGGGGACCGGGGGCCAGCTCTTTCTTGCCCTCAGCACCCCCTCCCCACCTTGAGCCACCCTGCCTTTCTCAGAGCACATCTACAAGGAGATTGTGAACTTCAGCCCCATTGCCCGGAAGGACTCGCGACGCCGGAGTGGCATGAAGCTGCAGTGACTTGTCCAGCTGACCCCTGGCTGAGCCCGGGGATCACCATGTGGCACCCCCTGCCAGACACTGCCCCTAGGACCAATATTTATTTGTCACTACTGAGCCCTTCTGGGTTACAGCCTTCCAAGCACAGGACTGAGGACCCTAGTCCTTGTGTGGGAAATAGGCCCAGTAGGTGCAGGTTTCAAAGATGTTGGTTGGGGGAAAGTAGTTCCGGTCATAACTGACCACATTAAATGCCTGTCTGGAGACTTGCCTGTGTGTGGACTCCTTTCCTTCTCGGCTCTGGTGGCGCTAAGAGGGCGGACTGAGCCAGGGCTGGGGTCTACATCGGTGGCGGTATATTCGTTTGCTAGGGCTGCCATAGCAATGAGCACAAACTGCGTGGCTTAAAACATCAGAGACTTATACTCTCATGGTTCTTAAGGCGAGAAGCCTGAAATTAAGGTGTTGGAAGGGCTGTGTTCCCCCCAAAGGGTCTACAGAAGAACCCTTGCTTGCCTCTATTTGTAGCTTCCTGTGGCTCCTAGGGTCTTTGGTGTCCTTGGCTTGTGGCTGCTTCAGTCCACTTTCCGCCTCTGTCTTTACAGGGTCTTCTCTCCTGTGTGTGTGTTTGTCTGCCTTTCCCTTCTTCTTATAAGAAGACCAGTTATTTTTTTCCCATATTTTATTTCACTTAGTTTTGGGTTGCACAACAATGTGAATATACTTAACACTTTTTTCTTTTTCTTTTCCATTACCATTTATCCCTGTATACCCCTCACCGCCCCCCACTGCAGTCACCACACTGTTGTCCATGTCCATGAGTCCTTTTCCATTTTTCCTCCATCCCTCCACCCACTAGCCTCCGCCCCCACCCCCCCACCCCCCAGTTGTCAGCCTGCTCTCTGTGAGTCTGTCTCTGTTTTGCTAGAGCACCAGCTATTGAATGTCTAGTCCACCCTAATCCGGTATGACCTCATCTCAATCCTTACTCATTATATCTGCAACGACCCTCTTTCCAAACAAGGTCACTTCCTGAGGTTCTGGGTGGGTCTGACTTCTTGGGGAACACTATTCAACCCACTCCAGATGGCCACGAGGGAGGGCCCTTTCCTGGGCCCAGTGCTCTGTCATGGAGCCAAACGCATTTGGCGGCTAAATCAAGAAAGTCTTAGAGGGAGCTGCAGCTGGTGAGACATGGCCCGCAGGTTATTTTGGGTGAGTGATAAGCAATCAAGATATGAAACCACAGCAGGCATGCTGACTGGGAGCTGCAGAAGGCAGAAGCGGGCTTTTTCGGGCTTTCCACAAAACTGTTCTCACCCATCTCTGCCAAGTTTTAACCTGGCAATGGCTGAGATCCTTCTGCTTAGATTTGAAAAACTGGTCAAATTCCTACGTACAGTCAGGAGTCTGGCCCCATAGTTCTTGCCCTGCGCCCAGTGGAGCTCCAGCTTCCCCGTGCACCATGGCCCTGGTTAAAATGCACATTCCGGGCCTCGCCCCAGGGATTCTGATTTGGCAGGCCTGGGCTTCAGAACCTAGAATGTGTGAGTGAGGACCCTCATCCCTCAGCCCAAGCCTAGTGATTCTGATAGACATCGGACCATATTTAGAGGAACATTTAAATGACTTCTGTGCTACTGAATTTGTCAAGAGGCCTAAATTAGGAATTTACAATGGGGGACTGAGGGGGTTCAGATGAGCTTCACACTCTCATTTTATGAGTGTTAAAGCCAAGGCTCAAATGGCCTTTTTAGGGTGGTGAGACTATTCTCTGTGACACTAATGCTGGATACCTGGTGTGCATTTGTCACCACCCACTGAATGTACAACACAAAGAGCGAACCCTAATGTAAACTGTGGACTTTAGTGAATAATAATGTACTGATACTAGCTCATCAGTTGTAACAAAGGCACCACACCGATGCAAGATAAGATGTTAATAACGGGAACTGCAAGGGTAGGGAGGGAGTATATGGAAATTTATGTACTTTGGGCACAGTTTTTCCGTAAACCTAAAACTGCTCTAAAAGTCATGGCTTAAAAAAAGCCTCAAGTAATGTCCATACAAATAAATAAACCAAAAAAAGAAAACCTTGAGTCCACACTACCCCTCCCTGAGAGACTCAGTCAGAAACCCCCAGCAAGGAAGTGCTGGGCTCAGGATTCGACCTGGAGCAGCCTTGACCACTGCCAAAGGCTCTTAACCCACACTTGGATTCGATGATTGCCCAGCATTCCCTCCCTTCTAGCCTGGATTTTGCTGCTTCTCCCACAGAGTGGCCCTACTGTCAATGAGGGAGGAGTAGGTGGTGGCAGGGACTGGCTATGTCCTGCCGTAGCCCTGACCTTGCTAGTTACTGAACTGTACCAGGTCCCCTGAGTCTAAATCCCTCAGTTAATTGCCTGCTGAGACTACTTACTGGCTCCAGGGAAAAAAATCCAGCCTTCGGGTCCTGGCCTTCAAAGCCTATCAAGTTCTCTGACCTCGTCAACTCCTGCCTCCCTTTCTTTTTTCATGCCAGCGTAGCCTGCTATGGAGCTTGAGTCCCGGGGTACACCAGGAGGCTCACCCTGCATATGAACAGTCTGCAGGCTCTGACAGGTCCTGCAATAAATGTTCAACATTGTTTAATCCAGACTTCCTAAATGTACTTAGCCGCAGCACCACGCTCTCTCCTGGCAGCCGTCACACACGGAGCCTCTGCCCAGTGCCGCCTGCACAGGTCCCGACACCTGGGCTCCTTCCCGAGCCTCTGCACAGAGGCCCTTCAACCCCCTTCTCACTGAGGAACATTCTCCTCATTCTTCAAGACCTAGCCTCAGGCCTCCCTCCAGGAAGTCGTTTTCCAGCAGACCCCGCCCCTGTCCCCAGGCCCTCTGTGCAGGGCATCTGTAGTGTGTGTTCTGTGTCCCCTCTCCAGGGCCTGCTGTGAGCCCCTGTGGGGGACAGGTAACTGTGAATGCATGAATGAGCAAATGAATGAATGAACAAATGAATGATATCCTGGGTCCTGGTGGTCATTTCTCTGCCCCGACCAGACCAGCATTGTATCAAGAGCAGCCAAGAACCAAGCAGGAAGCGGAAGTGGTGGCCAGTCACTCCCCCGAGAATCTCTAGGCTCCTGGGCTCCCAGGCCACTCCCCGTCATCACTCAGTGCCCTCCAGTCCAGCCCAGAATCACACTTCTGTGTGTTGCTTCGGCCCCTTTCCCACAGGCACCTCAAAGCTGAGCAGTTTCTCTGAAGGGAGGTCAGGGTACTGAGCAGTGGGAAGAGGTCCATGGATCCCAGCCTTACCCTGTGGGCACATGGGCAGAGTAAAAGGAAAGGAGTTGGTTCCCAGGCTGGGTGGGGGCAGAAGGGCTGAGTTTGGGGGTTCTGGGCCCCCATAATCTCATAGTTGGGCTGCACGACCTCAGGCAGGCCTTGTGCTTTCAGGCCTTGGTGGACAAGGCTGGCTTTGCCCTCTCCAGCGGGACAGCTCAAAAGAGATAAGACAGTCCAGTAAGAGTAGCTATGTCCTTGACTCCCACCTCAGTGAAATGAAGGGTGTCCTTGCTTGATGTTTCAATGGCTCCTATCCCAAGGCAGCTGGGGACTGGTCATCCGTGTCGCCCAGGGCAGAGCTTGCCTGGTGGGGGCCGGGGTGGCACTGCTCCAAGTGAGGGGTGCTCCGGAAACTTTTCAGGCCTCCCGCAGGGCTGCACCCTGCTACCCCCCCACCCCCCGCACCCCCACTCCCCGCAGGCTAGGAGGGAGAAATCCCTGTCTCTCCCCTCTCTAGGCTTTTGTGTCTTTAAATTCAGAAACAGTCTCTCCCCTCTATCCCACTGTGAGCTCTTGCTCTGAGCTCCTTCCCTAAATCCCCCTGCGATCTAAGCTGACAGGCTGGTGATTTTCATGTTTTTCATAGTGGGCAGCTGAGGCCCAAGGCCATTCAACTAACCTGTGAAGCTGGTTAGTGAGCTGTCCCTGTGATGCCCCCACCCCCACCCCAGATTTCCTGGAGCAGGTGGAATTCTGACCTGGCTTCCCCGGCAGAGCCTCTGGTCCCTGAGCAGCTGCCCTCACTCTGGGCCAGGGTGTCAGCAAGGACCCCTGGGTTGGGAGCTCTTCTCCTTGTTTGGACTGTGGATCCCCTCTCAAGATAATGTTTTCATATGCATAAAATAAAATACACAGGGTTGCAAAGCAAGCTAGTCATGTTGGAATACAGTTGTGAAAATATCGTTTAAATGTGGTGTTGTAAGACATGGGTTCCTTTATTAACACATTAAATACAAGATCTAGGGGTGAGCCTAATAAGCTACTGTAAATGTGAAGGGGAAATGAGGGCAGACGACGTTTCAGGGTACCTGCACCCGGGCAAGGGCGGCAGAGAGCTCTGTGCTGTCCTCTGGCCCCACTAACACCGCTGTAGCTTGCCGCCTGGATTCAAATGCAGGTGAGTGGAAGCAAAGTTGTAATCACTCCCAGTCCAAGTTCATGGGCCTGTGAATTAGTGTACAGTCCATGGTTTATGGACCCCAGTTAAGAACCCTTCTTCTAGACACTAAAATGTGACTTGAGGTGTCCTCTGCAATTTCTTAACCGACCTGCATGCCCACCTTGTTTGCTCATGCAGCCAGGTTGTGCCCAGACGCCTACAACACATATTGCCCCCCAGCCCCAGTGTCTCCTGGCCTCACTGTCCAGGAATGGGTCAGCCTGGGACATTTCCTAGGGAATTAGCCAGGCCTCAACATCTACTTTGCAAACTGGATGGAATTCTCCCATCCCTACCCCAGAGCATTCCCTATAAATGGGAATTTTACTGATGAAGGTATTTGGGCCCAGAGTGGAAACTGGGGCCCAGGCCCCATCTACTCACCACTGTGCTTTTCTGTCCGCTGCAGCCGTGGCATGGCATTTACTGAGATTAATGTGCGGTTTGCACTCCCTGCATTACTGTCCCTGTCTCCCCAACCACTGAGGCACAAAGATAGCCTCAGGGACAGATTTGTGTTAACTGGCCAAGAGAAGATGCTACCAGAAAAATACTCATTTTTCTTTGCTTTCCCAAAGGTCTCAACTTACCCTGAGAACATTTTGCTAGGACTCTAGGATGGGGAAAGGTGGGGGGTGAGTGAGGGAAGTACGTCTGAGGAGCCATATGGCTCAGCTAAGGTGTTTCTTCTGACTGGGAGGAGGCAGAGGCAGGTTAGTGCCCACATTCTTTGGGGACTGTGCCCAGCTCCCCAACAACACTCTGGCAAAACTCAAGAGG